TGCCTTTTCACTAGTCCAATCTTCTCATTGTCAAGTTTATGTATGTTGTGATGTTCCGGTTCATACTTAGTTGATCTCTCCTCTATGTGCATGTGTCCTTCACTGGTTCAATCTTCTCATTGTCAAATTCATGTATGTTGTGATGTTCCGGTTCATACTTAGTTGATCTTTCCTCCATGTGCATGTGTCCTTCACTAGTTCAAGCTCCTCATCGTCAAGTTCATGCATGTTGTGATGTTCCGTTTCATACTAAGTTTGATCTCTCCTATGTGCATGTGTCCTTCACTAGTTCAAGCTCCTTATTGTCAAGTTCATGCATGTTGTGATGTTTCAGTTCATACTTAGTTGATTTCTCCTCTATATGCGTGTGCCCTTTTACTAGTCCAATCTTCTCATTGTCAAGTTCATGTATGTTGTGATGTTCCGGTTCATACTTAGTTGATCTTTCCTCCATGTGCATGTGCCCTTTACTAGTTCAAGGTCCTCATTGTCAAGTTCATGCATGTTGTGATGTTCCTATTCGTACTAAGTTTGATCTCTCCTCTATATGCATATGTCCTTCACTAATTCAAGCTCCTCATTGTCAAGTTCATGCAGGTTGTGATGTTCCGGTTCATACTTAGTTGATCTCTCCTCTATATGCATGTGCCCTTTCACTAGTCCAATGTTCCCATTTTCAAGTACATGTGTGTTGTAGTGTTCCGGTTCACAGTTAGTTGATTTCTCCTCCATATGGATGTGCTTTTCACTAATTCAATCCTCATATTGTTAAGTACATGTGTGTTCTAGTGTTCCGGTCGTACTTAGATGCTCCTTCCTACGTGTGCATGTGCTTATCAATCTCTCATTGTCAAATTCATGTGTATTGTAGTATTCCGGTCCATGCTTAGTTGATCTTTCACTATGGGATGGGTGACTGACATTTGGCTGCTACTACTATGGGATGGGTGACCGACATTTGGCTGTTACTACGGGTGATGATTTGATTAGGATTAGAAATCTCTTCCCTCTCTCTCTCTCTCTCTCTCTCTCTCTTTCTCTCTCTCTCTCTCTCTCTCTCTCTCTCTCTCTTTCTCTCTCTCTCTCTCTCTCTCCCCTTCTCTCTCTTCTCTTTCTCTCTCTCTCTTTCTCACTTTCTCTCTTCTCTCTCTCTCTCTCTCTCTCTCTCTCTCTCTCTCTTCTCTCTCTCCCTCTTCGTTCTTGCTCTCTCTCTCTCGCTTCCCCTCACTTGGCATATGACTAACTCTTCTCCCCTCACTTGTTACAATGCCGGGTACGAACGGTAAAAAGAGATCAGACCTCACTTGGTGGAGAAAGAGGGCAAAGGGAGGGTAGCCGGTCCCTTGTGCCACCAAGAAGGCAAAGGAAAGGACGTTTGAAAAGAGTGGGAAAGAGGCGGAATCCGGAAGAAAGCATAAGTTGAAGCGAGGTCAGTTTGACTCAACCATTCCCCCGACTGCATGACTATGAGAAGAGGATGGGCTGATTGAGCAAAGAAAGGGAACAAAGAGCAGCCAAAGAGCATGGAAAGATAGGCATGTGGGGAGGTATTGTGTTGACACCCAACGGGGGATTGTATGGATCTTTGCTTTGTGCGGGATTGTGCAGGTAAGTGAAGGCTAAGGATGTCTTGAGCGGAATAGGGTCGGGAGGAATCGGGCATCAAAAGGAAAAGGGAAGAGGGGCAAAGGGGTTACGGGACCCTTAGCATAAGGCTAACCCATGGAAATGACCTTTGTGTTTGAGACTTGGAGTGTAAATAAGAAAATGAAGTGCAATCTCGCCAAGGGAAATGTGAAGTTGTGTGCGCATGCACGTAAAGGCCCCGAAAAGACTAAGGGGCCTACGTCAATAGGGTTTAATGAGAAGTATGAGACCTGAGGGGTGCGTAGAGGCGAGGGGGAGGACGGCTTCGCCGCACCCCGATGACGCCGGGGGATCACAATACTTAGGGAAATGGTGCTCAGCCTAAGGATGACGCTTAGCCTGCGCACAAGAGAAGAGAAACACTCAAAGAGCCCTTGGACTGCCTGCGTATTGGAAGGAGCAATTGCCTGAGAACATAACTAAGAATCGAAAAAAAGTGAGCGTTGCGGAGTGACCAGCGAGACTACCACCCGGCGTGAGGGCTGAGCTACATCCCCAATGTCAAAGCTCTCTCGCGCGATGGCCCACCCCCATCCATCTCAAAGCACTAGGTGGGGGTGACCCTGGGACGAATGGCCCGCGCCCTGAGCATGAGCGTGGGCGGGCCGAGCCAACTGGGACCCGCAGTGGGGTCGACTAAGGCTCAAAAGTCTACCGGGGTTTGGCCCTACACCGGGCTGGGATAGGATCGGGGTTGGGATGGTTCTCGGATAGAGAATACGTCAGGGTTGGGATGAATCAGGACGGGGATGGAGCGGGAGGAGCCGAAATGGAGCATGACTGTGATGAAGGGAAGAAACAGGGCGGGAGGAGTTGGGAAGGAGCGAAAGGAGTCGGGCTGGAACAAGATGGGCCGGGATGGAGGGGGGGGCGTTGGGTTGGAGCTGGGATGGAGCGGGAGGAACCGGGGTAATGGCTCCGAACTGGGATGAATCGGAGCGGGGATGTAGCGGGAGGAAGTCGGGATGACGTCAAAACAGAGGAGGACGAGTGACGGGGGGAATGGTGAAGGAAGAAGGGTGGTGGGGAATGCGACGGGATGGGCGCGCGAATAAAGTAGGAAGGTGGAGCGGGTGTGTTTGTGGGGAAGACAGGGTCAGGAAGTTCTGATGGGCGCGCAACTAAGGTAGGAAGTTTGAGTCGGTATCATGAAGACGGGCCCGGAAGTAGTGTAGAAGACGGGATCAGTGAGTTTTGATGGGCGCGCGAACTAAGTAGGAGATGGGATCAGGAAGACGGGGGGGTATGGGGAAGGAGGAAGAGTTGTGGGGATTGTGACGGGATGGGCGCGCAAATAAAGTGAGTCGGGAGTGGGGTAGGTGCGAGTCGGAGTTGGGAAGGCGGGTTCTTGATGAGTGGGTCGATTATTTCGGACGAGGGGGGATTAAGTTTTGGGAGAGTGGGTTCATATGTCTAGAACAGATTGTATGTCTGGTGAGGAGATTTGAACAACAAAATTGTTAGAAGCAGGGGGGTAGCGGGAGTGATGGGGGGAGCGAGTGGAGGGGGGCTATCAAGCAAGTTTTCGTGGTAACTTCTCACAGTGTTTACACGTCGGTCTCTTGAGATTCCTTTTAGGCCGAAACATGACCTAAACACTAGAACGTCATATCTAACCATGACGGGCTTGTGATGATGATTGTCCTTTGCACGTCCTCGAAGCATGTAGGTGTCAACCTCACGGGCTAGAACAAGGATTCAGCTTTTCTGTCTCTCTTTGTCTCTTGCTTCTAACTTCGTCTTCGTATTCCTTCTTG